CGGCTTGGGGACTGAAGGGCCCCGTGTTCGATTCCGGTCAAGGGCATGTACCTTGTTTGCAGGCATATCCCCAGAAGGGGGTGTGCAAGAGGCAGCTGATCGATGACACTCTCTCATCGATGTTTCTAACTCTCTCTCTCTCACTTCCTCTCTGTACAAAAATCAATAAAATATATTAAAATAAAACACAAGTGTACATGCTTAATCAGATTCAAGATTATATTTTGACAAGAATGCTTCACTGGTGGTGGTGTATACTTCCAGTAAGAAATGTCTGCTTGTCTTTTTGATGGTCGCTGCCTAGATTTATTAGCTAGTCACTGGCTGGTGCACACGCTCTCCTTTCTCTCACACACATTCTCTCTCTGTCCCTCTCTCCCACTCTCTAAAAATCAATGGGGAAAATATCTGGTGCTGCTAGTGAGGATTAACTAAGTAAGTAGATGATAGATAGATAGATAGATAGATAGATAGATAGATAGATAGATAGATAAAATGATGCATGAGTGAAATGCCGAGTTGGGTAAGTTTATAGGTTTGCAGATTCTACACTACAGTTGATCTTTAGAAAACTATTATTGTCCAGTATTTGTGTTTTCACAAATAATATCTACAGTTATCTGAAAAGGCTATTAAAATACAAAGCAACTGTAATGAAGTGTTAAAGCATATAGATCAAGAAGATAGAATTAAAGAGTCCAGAAATTTATGTTTTTTTTCTTTTCTTTTTTTACAAAGGTGCCAAAACAACTCAGTGAGGGGAGAGGGGGAAGTAATCCTTTCAATAAATTGTGCTTTTTAAATATCCACATGCAAAAAGTGAAGTTGAACACCTGCTTTATACAATATACAAAAATTAACTCGAAAAGGACTTGAAAAATTGAGTATAAGAGCCAAAGCTATAAAACTCGTAGAGCCCTGGCCCGCTCAGTGGACAGAGAGTTGGCCTGCGGACTCAAAGGTCCCAGGTTCCATTCGGGTCAAGGGCATGTACCTTGGTTGTGGGCACATCCCCAGTGGGGGGGGGGGGGTTGTAGGAGGCAGTGGATCAATATTTCTCTCTCATCGATGTTTCTAACTCTATTCCTCTCCTCTCCTCTCTGTAAAAGAAATCAATAATATATATATATTTTTTAAAAAACTCTTAGAAAAATATGGGAGTATATCTTTGTGGTTTCTTCATCACCAACAAAAGCAGCCCGAGGGAAAATTGAACATCAAAATATTAAAATGTGCTTCACATTATATCAACAATGAAAAGACACCTTTTTCAATGGGAGGAAATTTTTGCAAGTAATATATCTGATAAAAGACTTGTATAAAGAACTTACATCAATAAAAAGACAACCCGCCAAAACCGGTTTGGTTCAGTGGATAGAGCGTCGGTCTGCGGACTGAAAGGTCCCAGGTTCGATTCTGGTCAGGGGCATGTACGTTGGATGCGGGCACATCCCCAGTAGCAGCTGGTCGGTGTTCCTCTCTGATCGACGTTTCTAGCTCTCTATCTCTCTCCCTTCCTCTGTAAAAAATCAATAAAAATATATTAAAAAAACAAAAAACAAAACAATAAAAACTACTACAATGTAATACCACTTCACACCCACTAGAATAACTAGAATCAAAACATTAAGTGTTGGCAAGGATGTGGAGAAATTGAAACTGTCATACATTGCTGGAGGGTATAGCCAAGCACAGTCTGGCAGTTCCTTGAAAGTTTCAACAGTTATCAGAGGACAGCAGTTTTACTCCTGGTTACATACCCTAGTGTCAGTCACCGACCTTCAGGACCTCAGGGACCACTAGTGGTCCACCAGTTGGCAACTGCAGTCCTGGTATTGAAAGTACAGGGGTAATGCACTGAATAATGTGCCTGCACCAAAAAGTGGGTTCAATTTCCAGTCAGGGCACTGATTGTGGGTTTGGTCCCTGGTGGAGGTAACCAATGGGTTCAATGATCCTCACATTGATGTTTATTGCTCTTTCATCTTCTATCTAAAAAAATAAAAAATTAAAAAATCGTAGAGGGCCACCTGGGAAGGCACATGGGCAATTTTCTTTAATTATTGTCAGCTGAATTCGGTGTAGGCAGATCCACGCCTTGGGAACATGTTTCCCCAAGATGGCAGACATGTTGTCAGCTTGGACTTTATATCAGCCCATGTGTCGGCAGGGGCGGGACTAGATATGTAAATCCAGGCATGCTAGGCCCTACTTATGAATGCAAATAAGTTGGTGTTACTTCCTGGTAGTGGGGGTATAAAATAAATGCACAGGGAGGGGTCACAGAATGGCGGCCCACCCAGCTCCCAGCTATTTCTGCCTCTTCTTTCTTTATTTCTATTATTTCTCAACCCCTGGCCACCTCCACTTAGAAAGTGTTCATTCACCTCTCTTTTCGTGCGGGATGCAGAAAAGGGACATCCCTGCCATGTCTGGCCCCCACAAAAATCAATGAAAATACTGGGGTGAGCAAAAGTAGTTTCACAGTTGTAATATAAGTAATGCAATAGTAAACAATAATGAACTCTATTTGTATACTCACAACTGTCAATCTACTTTTTGCCCAGCCCTGAATGTCTACACCCAGTCTTGTACACGAATGCTTATACCAGCATTATTGATAATAGCCAAAAAGAGAAAACAGGTGTCCAACAGATTAATGGGTACATGAAATATGGTGTATCCACACAATAGAATGTTATCTGGCAATAAGAAGCCAGTGGTGATGCTATCTATATTCTACAGTGTCTTATGTGCCTTTCAATTCTGTCATTATCGCAAACACACTGCAATGCAAAATAGAGCTGAGCAGAGTTGGACTGTTGCTCTGCCCCTTTTCCCATGAGTGACCAGCTAATTGAGCAAGTCTCTCTGACAATACTTCATATTGTTGTGACGGTGCTGTGCCTTAAGTATTAAGCACACAAAGGTATTCACATCACAGGCCTCCATGCTACCTTCTTTCCTTGGAAGTTACAATAAGCTGGTTAGTGGGTGTACAGGCTTAGAGCTATGAACCAGGTCATAGAGAACATTCTCAATGGTTTTTCTCTTGGCAAAGGAATTTATGATTGTGTAACTTCTCTCAATTTAGTCTAGTTAAAATATGAGCACAAGCTTAAGAGGTAGGTAGTTGAGTACAATGTGTGTCAAATTGTATAAGTCTGCTCCATATTTATCTCAACATTTGAAGGCACTTTTAAGAGTGAAATTCAGGTGGGGCGGGGGGAGTGTAAGAAGTAGTCATAAGCATAAATGTGGAACTAAAATATCAAGAGGATTCAAGTAAAGTCACCATACAAGAGCTCAGTCATACAAGTGCATGTGTAAGGAAGTCAAAATAATGGAAAATATGTGGGAATTGGAAGGACAATAAATCCAAGTAATTGATAGGGTGTAAGCTATATAAAAACTGTTACCCTGTTTCCCCGAAAATAAGACAGTGTCTTATATTAATTTGTTCTCCCAAAGTTGCGCTAGGTCTTATTTTCAGGGGATGTCTTATCTTTCCATGCGCCTAGCTCTTATTTTCGGAGGATGTCTTATTTTTGGGGAAACACGGTAGTTATTTATTTTTATTTTTATATATACGTTTATTTATTTCAGAGAGGGAGAGAGATAGAAACATCCATGATGAACCAAGTGTTGAGCTATGATCTAAGAGGTCTTGGTTCAATTCCCCATCAGGACATATGCCTGGGGTTGCAGGCTCCATCCCTCTAGGGAGGGCGTGCAGGAGGCAGCTGATCAATAATTCTCTCATCATTGATGTTTTTATCATTCTCCCTCTCTGAAATCAATAAAAGACAGAGAGAGAGAGAGAGAGAGAGAGAGAGAGAGAGAGAGAGAGAGAGAGAGAGAGAGAGACATCAATGGTGAGAGAGAATCATTGATTGACTGCCTTCTGCACGCCCCACACTGGGAATTGAGCCCACAACCCAGGCATGTGCCCTGACAAGGAATCCAACCGTGACCTCCTGGATCATAAGTCAATGCTCAATCACTGAGCCACACTGGCGGGGCTTTTTTCCCTTTATTTTATTTTATTTTGCATCACCATTTATACCCTCATACCCTCTTACCTCTCCACCTCCCCCACATGCAATCACCGCACTGTTATCTGTGTCCCTGAATTCTCTCTTTTTTTCTCAATGTGTTAAGGAAACCCTCGTTTGGGCTAGGGCAGCTGTCATTGTGTCCAGTAATGAAGGGTTGAATCATATAAGGCGTTTATTGAGAAGGCCAGCCAACCAAGAAGACAGGGCACTTTATACATTCACATCCTGTCTTCCCAGTAAGGTGTAGGGGGCAGGATTATAATGGGAAGGGGCTTAGGGTGAGGCAGCCCTGGAGGTCCGCAGGTGTCCGCTCTTGTCCTTAGTCATCGGGTGATGAGATGACATTTTGACTCCAGGTGGATCCGTCTGATCCTGCTCATCAGTTCTGCTTCCTGGATTCACAGCTGACGCACCTCCTTAATCGCTTCGCACAGGCCTTGAAGACTGTAACCCCTGTTCACATACATAAGAAACTCAGCCCCCAGGTCACATAAGTATATGTGTTCCAAGATTTAACATAGGATTATTTTTCACATTAATTCAGGTGCTCTATCAGATTACAACCCCCTCCATTCCCCATCAAATCCCTCCACCCCCAATCAGAGCTGTCTGCCTGTTCTATAGGGTGTTTGTTTGTTTTTTTAAATACATTTTTATTGATTTCTTTTTTTACAGAGAGGAAGAGAGAGAGGGATAGAAAGTTAGAAACATCGATGAGAGAGAATCATCGATCAGCTGCCTCCTTGCACCTCCCACCCCTGGGGATGTGCCCGCAACCAAGGTACATGCCCCTGACCGGCATCGAACCTGGGATCCTTCAGTCCGCAGACCGATGCTCTATCCACCGAGCCAAACCGCTTTCGACTGTATAGTGTGTTTTTATAGTCTGTTCTTTCTCTGACCGGCCCAGGTCACTTAGCATAAGGCTCAAACACTGTCACGTCATTTGTGACTGTGCCTTAAGGAGGAGTAGAACTCGCCGGCCCCCGCGTCCCCCACCAGGCCGGCCCCCGCGAGGACGGTGTAGGGCTCTGCCTTCGCCGCCGCCTCCAGGAACTGCTGCAGGCAGTGCAGGAAGGCCGCCGTGGCTCGTGGAACCTGTCCTCCCGCAGCGCGCCCTGCCCCGGGGGCGGCACAGGGGCAGCGCCGCGGGGCGGGCAGCGGCTGCGGGTGGGAGCGGTCCCCGCGGGGCCTGAGCCGGAACCTCTGGCCCCGCAGGCCCACCGCGAGGGCCAGGGCCTGGAGCAGCAGGGCCGTGTGCTCCCAGGCCGGGTTCATCTCCCTCCAGCGGGGAGGGAGGCAGCCCAGCCTGGAGCCGTTGATGGAGGCCACGGGGCCATCACAGCAGTTCACAAACGCGGCCCGGAAGGCGCTGGTGTTCTGCAGCCGGGCCAGCTGGGCCTGGGCGTGCAGCAGCCGGGCCTCCGCGCTGCGCAGCTCGTCCTGCAGCTCCAGCTGTTGCCGTCGCAGCTCACCGAGGTCCCTGTAGTACTGCCCTTCCTGCTGCTCCAGCGACTCCGTCTCTGCCCGGGCGGCCTCCAGAGCCACGCGGGTCCTTTCTCCGTTCTTCTCCACCTCCTCCAGCTCCTGGGCCAGCCTGGCTTCCTCCAGCTCCACGGCCTTCAGCTCCTGCTCCAGTGTCTCCCTCGCATCCTCCCCTGGTCTCCAAACAGCGTTTGTAGATCTGAATGTCAGAGTCTGAGGCCCTGAGCGGGGTGTCCGGCTGCTCCAGGAGGCTGTCAGTACAGTCCTCGCACAGGGGCTGGTCCAGCTCTCCGCCCGTTAGGAAGTCAAAAACACCCTTCGCGGCTCTCCGGATGCTACCGAGAGTCCCCTCAGAGCCCAGCTCCCGAGCAGGGTGAAGTTTCTGGGATCGGACCCGAAGATCTCGTCCTCACTAAGGAAGGTCCAGCCAGCGGCACTCTCCTGCAGCTCTTCACGGTCTGTCTCCATCCTGCAGGCAGAGTCTTCCTGCCGAGGTGCTCCTGGCTCCCCCTGAGCTGGGGGAATGTCGAAGCTGCAGGTTCCCTGCTGAGGTCAAGGCCCAAGGCCTCCGTGGAACTAGTCAGCTTCAGAGGCCCAGGGCAGAAATGGCACAGGAAGCGGGTGGAGGACATGGTGAAAGTGTTAACTTTCACCGTTGACTCTAAGTTTCCTCTGGCTCCCCTGTTGCTTCTCCATTTATCCTTTGTGAGGTCCTATAAGGGGAGTGAGTTTTAAAATGTAGATCTTGTCACTCACGCTCCACCTCAAACCTTACCCTCCCTTAGCAGTTTAGACACAGGAGTGTTTCTTGAGTGGAAAATCCAATCATCTCACATTCTTTAAAAGGTTTAAGGCACATCTTTTTAAAAATATATCTTTATTGATTTCAGAGAGGAAGGGGGAGGGAGTGACAGAAACATCAATGATGAGAGAGAATCATTGATCGGCTGCCTCCTGCACGGCCTTGACCAGAATCGAACCTGGGACCCTTCAGTCCACAGAGCCAGTGCTCTTTCTCACTGAGTCAAACCAGCTGGGGCTAAGGCATAGCTTCAGAGTAATCTTTTTACACTTGATCTTAGCCAAAAGGCAGAGAAGGATGAGAGTAATCTTCCTAAACCTAAAATCTGATCCTGGTACCTCCCTCCTTAAAACGCTTAATGCCCTTATCTCACCTTAAGATAAGGTCTTAGCATCTTAACCTGATACCGAGGCCTCCACCCATGTTTACAGCTTCTTTTCTCTTCTCTTCTCCTTTCTTTTATTTATTTATTTTTTAGCTTTTAGATTCCCTGGACATCTTCCACTTCAAAGAATGGGAAACCGAGGCATGGAGGTAGATTATGTGTGGCAAGGATCATGATATATAGCAGGTGGCAGAGGGGTCCCTGCGCTGGGGATTGTGGCTCAGTGGGGAGGGAGGGCTGAGCAGGGCAGGTGTGGCCTGGGTTAGGGAGCAGGGGTGGAGTTGGGGGCAGGGCCAGCGGGGTCAGGGTGGGCACAAAGAATGTGAGCTTCTCAGTCTGGAAGCAGGCAATGTCCTCGTGGTAGGTGGCCTTATTGATGAGAGTGGGGTACCCAGTGGACGCCCCCTCATAGAGCACATTCTACCGCTGAACATCTGGATGTATCGGGCGCAGCCGCTGCAAGTCTCGGTCTCTGGTTGAAGAGCCGGTGAAGTCCAGAGCTGTGGCCACTAAGGCTCTCAACCTGGTGAAAAGGTGGCTCGCAGCACTCCCTTCGGCAGGGCGCAGCCTTAGAGAGGCCCCAGCGAGACTCCATTTAAAATTTGTAAGCATGAGCTTGAGTGCCTTTGTCCTCTGCTCCTCTGTGTTCAGGCGGGTTCTGATGGGGAGTAGAACTCACCGGCTCCCAGGTCTCCATCAGGCCGTCCCCCATGTGGATGGTGTAGGGCATGCAGAGAGCTGGCTCGCCCTTCTCTGCTGCCTCCTTGAACTGCTGCACAGCCAGGAAGGCCGGCATCCCCATCAAACTTGTTACCCAGGAGAGCGCTCTGCCCCAGGTGCCAAGACTTGTGTCTTTTTTTTTTTTTTTTTTTTTTTTTAATATATTTTATTGAGTTTTTACAGAGAGGAAAGGAGAGGGATAGAGAGTTAGAAACATCGATGAGAGAGAATCATCGACCAGCTGCCTCTTGCACACCCCTACTGGGGATGTGCCTGCAACCCAGGGACATGCCCTTGACCGGAATCGAACTGGAGACCTTTCAGTCTGCAGGCCGACGCTCTATCCACTGAGCCAAACCGGTCTCAGCAAGACTTGTGTCTTAATCACTATTCAACACCTGGCACAGTGACTGATACAGAGTAGATGCACAGTATTTTCTGATTAATGAGTGAGAATATCTATAGAAGTTCCAAAATGAAAGAAAAAAGAAAGAAAGAATGAGAGAGAAAAAAGAGAGAAAGAAAGGAAGGAAAAAAAAAAAAAGGTCCTACTTTCTAGCATCTTTTGGTGACTGCAAATAAAGAAGAAGAAAACAGTTTACAAAGGAAAAAATCAGATTGACTTAAGAATTCCCACCTATCAAAGCAATTTTGTTAAGAAAAGAGGAGTTTAAGGAGATATCACTTCACCTGTCAGAATGGCTATCATAAATTGATCAACAAACAACTAGCACTGGTGAAATTGTGGAGAAAAGGGAATCCTTATGCACTGTTGGGAATGTAAATTAATGCAGCCACTGTGGAAAAGCGTATGAAGATTCCTCAGAACATTAAAAATAGAACTAACATATGACTCAGCAATTCCACTTCTGGGTATTTATCTGAAGAATTCCAAAATACTCCTTTGAAAAGACATATACACTCCTATATTCATTGCAGAATTATTTACAACTAGAGGCTCGGTGCATGGAATTCATGCATAGGGGGTGGGAAGTTCCCTTAGCCCAGCCTGCACCCTCTCCAATCCAGTATCCCTTGGGAGATGTCTGACTGCTGATTTAGGCCTGACCCCAGGGATCAGGCCTAAACCGGCAGTCAGACATCCCTCTCACAATTCTGGACTGCTGGCTTCTAATCACTCACCTGCCTGCCTGCCTGGTTGCCTCCAACTGCCCCCACTGCCAGCCTGGTTGCCCCTCAGAGCCCCCCACCAGTCTGGTCACCCCACGCAGCCTGCTTATTCAGTCATTTGATCATCCCTCACTAACCCTCCTCTCATCCTGGTCACAGGCAGCCATCTTGTGAGGGTGTGATGATCAATTTGCATATTACCTCTTTATTATATAGGATAACCTAAGTATCCTTCAATAGGTGAATGAAATATTACTCAGCCATAAAAAAGTGAAATCTTGCCATTTGTGACAACATAGACCAGAGGGTATTATGTTAAGTGAAATAATCATACAGAGAAACACAAATACCATATGGTTTTACTTACATGTGGAATCTAAAAAACAAACTCTGATACAGAGAAGAACTTGATGGTTGCTATTGTAGATGAGAGAGGGGTTGGGGTGTGTGTGTGAAAAAAGGCTAAGGGATTCAAATGTACAAATTGACGGTTATAAAAAAAATCACGGGGATGTAAAGTATAGCATAAGGAATATAGTCAATAAGTATGGAGCTGGATGGCTATTACACTTATTGGAGGATCAGGTTTTTAAGATAAATGTCTAACCACTATGCTGTACACCTAATACAATTTTATATAATAAAAAGCTAATATGCAAATCAACCAAATGGCAGAATGACCAGCCGAATGACCAGTCCCTATGATGTGCACTGATCACCAGGGGGCAGATGCTAAACACAGAAGCTGCCCCCAGCCCACAGGCCCCAAATGGTGGTGGGGGAGGCGGCGCATGGCTGGTGAGTGGGTGGTGCCAGGCCAGGCAAGGTGTTGCAAGCCGGGACCCCAATTGACCTGCTGTTCACTCTGCAGAGGGAGGCGACCAGTGGCAGCAGCAGGGGGTGGGGCCAGGGAGGGGGCAGCACCAGGCCAAGGCAGGTGTGAACAGGGACGCCGATCACCCCACCGGTTGCCCCACAGGTTGGTCCTGATCGCTAACCAGGCCTAGGAACCCTACCCATCCATGAATTTTGTGCACTAGGCTTCTAGTCCTATCTAATAATGTTAATCAGCTTAACAATAACCCACAACCTTCGGACCAACTTAGTCCTATCTAATAAAAGAGAAACATGAAAATTGACTGTACCTTCTCTATGCCCACAAGCCACGCCCACCAACCAATTGCTCCACTCAAGCCACGCCCACTAGCCATGCCCACCAGCCAATCAGAGCAAGTATGCAAATTAACCCCAACCAAGATGGCTATAGCCACAGAAAGCAGTTGAGAGGCTTGGGTTTCCCAGGCAAGGAAAGCCAAGCTTTCCACACACCCTGCCCGGCTTAGGCCTCCACTCAAGGATACAAAGTTTCAATTATAGAAGATAAATAAACCCAAACAGAAATGGCTGTGAGCAGGGGGCTTGGCTCTGCTCCAGGCTACAAAGTTTCAATTGTAGAAGGTAAATAAATTCCAGATACCAGGGTCTCTGCTTGCTTCGCCAGGGGGTGTGGCCAGCCTGCAAACCACCACAGAGCCTTCGCCCAGGCCTCCCCACACCCTGGGACACCATTCAGGACTAACCAGCTGATCCCCACCAGCTGGCCTCTATCCTATCTAATAAAAGAGTAATATGCAGATTGACCATCACTCCAACACACAAGATGGCTGCCCCCATGTGGATACAAGATGGCCAACACAAGATGGCCAGCAGGGGAGGGCAGTTGGAGGCGATCAACCCTGTAGGGGAGGGCAGTTAAGGGTGGCCAGGCTGGTAGAGAGGGAACTTGGGGGCAAACGGGCTGGCGAGGGAGCAGTTAGACATCAATCAGGCTGGATGGGAATGGTTAGGGAGTGATCAGGCTGGCAGGCAGAAGCAGTTAGGGGCAATAAGGAAGGCAGCCGAAACCGGTTTGGCTCAGTGGATAGAGCATCAGCCTGCGGATTGAAAGGTCCCAGGTTTGATTCTGGTCAGGGGTATGTACCTTGGATGCGGGCACATCCCCAGTAGGGGGTGTGCAAGAGGCAGCTGATCGATGATTCTCTCTCATCGATGTTTCTGACTGACTATCCCTCTCCCTTCCTCTCTGTAAAAAATCAATAAAATATATTTTTTTAAAAAATAAGGAAGGCAGGCGAGCAATTGGGAGCCAGCAGTCCTGGATTGTGAGAGGGATGTCCAATTGCCTGGTGGGATTGGGTTTAAATGGGCAGTTTAACATCCCTTGAGGGGTCCCAGATTGGAGACAGTGCAGGCTGGGATGAGGGACCCCCCACCCCAACCCATGCATGAATTTCGTGCACCAGGCCTCTAGTCCATATATAACCCATATGCAGATTTTATCAGTTGTACCAAAAATGTCCTCTTAGAGCAATTTTACTTTCCTGATCCAGGATCCCATCCAGGATTAGGTATATTTGTCTTGTTTTATTTAATCTGGCATAGTTATCAGCCTTCTTTATCTTTCCTGACATTGATATGTTTAAAGAGGTGTTTTTGCTACCTCCTTCATTTTACTCGATGAAGAGTTGGTAGAAGACAAATTGGGTTTCTCTACCTACTCCCTATATCAGCAATTTTCCACCGGTGTGCTGCGGCTGGCACAGTGGTGTGCCACAAGAATTTGTAAAACATGCAGTACCTGACTATTTAGTCAGGTGCACTGATCTCTTTTCTCTGACTGTCAAGTTTAAAAATAACAAGCCAACACTACAACAGCCATCTGGTGTGAATGAACCAAAATTATACCTATTTTGTCAGATGGGCAAAAAACTATATTTTTGGTGTGCTGCAGAATTTTAGTAATTTAGTTTATGTGTGCCATGAGATGAAAAAGGTGGAAAATCACTGCCCTCCAGATTCTGACTTGGCACAAAGGAAGAACCGAGTGGCAGCAGTTAGGGGGCTCTGGAGGGTCCTCATCCTAACAAGACCACTTTCTGGCCAGGTTGCTTTCCTGCTCCAAGGCTGCATATATTCTCTTACCCTTTTGACGGAGCACTGGATGGGGGAGGAGAGAAAGGTGGAATCCCTCTTTACTGAAGAACTTTTTATTTATTTATTTATTTATTTTTAAATATATTTTATTGATTTTGTACAGAGAGGAAGGGAGAGAGATAGAGAGCTAGAAACATCGATGAGAGAGAGTCATTGATAAGCTGCCTCTTGCACACCCCCTACTGGGGATATGCCCACAACCAAGGTACATGCCCTTGACCGGAATCGAACCCAGGACCCTTCAGTCCCCAAGCTGATGCTCTATCCATTGAGCCAAACCGGTTTTGGCGTGAAGAACTTTTTAAAAAATACCTATTTTTATTGATTTCAGAAGGAGGAAGGGACAGGGAGAGAGAGAGAAATATCCATGATGAGAATCATCGATCGCACGCCCCCTATTGGGGATCCAGCCCAGCATGTGCCCTTATGAGGAATCCAACTGTGACCTCCTGGTTCATGGGGAATGCTCACCTCAGCCACCCCAGCCGATGAAGACCCTTCCTAAGCACAGTCCCCATGAAGAACATGCGGCTCCAGAGATCACTGTGTGCTCTGCTTTTTCTAAGCTCACAAATAATTTTATAATAAACTCTTTATATCTGCCCTTTTAGGCACTAGTGGGATTATGTGTGTGTGTGGTGTGTGCACGCACATGTGCGTGCACCCCCTTTGCACTGCAATGAATGACCCAGTTCACCTCAGTGCTGAGCATTTTTGGAAGCAGCAACATCCAACTGCCTCCTCCCCGGGGTAGGAAACGGCCCCGGTCCTGGAATGTGAGTTCCTGGGAGGGAGGATGAGTGCGTTGCCAGGGTGTCCACTGACTCCGGTGGATAAATCTGTGTGTGTGTGTGTGTGTGTGTGTGCGCGCGCGCACGTGTGCAAGCGCGAGCACTTGCTTACTAAACCTGCACAAGAGAACCTGAGTGATGGAGGAGTGGACGTTATCGATTTAGTCCATTCTTTGAAAAGAAATCTGCTACAAAGTGTTTAAGCAACCAAGGAACAGAAGTAGCTCATGGCAACGTGTTAGAATATTGAAGATGAGCAGAAAGGATTGTGATGCATAGAAAATCCAAGCTGGAATGTAGCTGGAGTGCAGATAAAACCCAGGCTGCAGCTACCGAGAGGTGGGGGGAGGGCCACAGAGCTTATTACAGACAAAAGGAGCCAAGGTCACAGCGGGGAGAAATGAAGTTAAAGGGACCAGAAGCAGCTCCTGAATGGCAGTGAGGAGTCCGGCGCGGTTCCACTACCATGACTTCGCAGCGGCCTTCGCCCGCGGACGACTTCGGCATCTACTACGTCCTGTGAGCCTCGGCCCCCGGCTCTCCCAGCCCCACTGGGGGCGGGTGGGAGGGGTTCCCCCAGACCTTGCCCACTGGAGGCCCCCGGAAAAGGGAAGGTGCTATTTAATATGTAGAGAGGAGACATTCCCGGAGGGTGACACCGGTAAATAGAAGTGAAACGACCCTCCATGTAACAGTGAGCCCTTCAGACCCGCAGGGCGGTGTGTGTGTGTGTGTGTGTGTGTGTGTGTGTGTGTGTGTGTGTGTGTATGTGTGTGATCTCATGGAGACCCCATTTAATGCCGCAGATAGAAAGACATCTCATGAAGGACAAAGATGCCGGGCTGCCTGGCGCAATAGCCACTTACGGAAGGAAGCTGTGGAGGGAGGAGGACTCCCCAGGAGCCCGGAGGGTTCCCGCCCCGGGGCAGGCCTGGCGGACCCACCTGAACGCTTTTGTTCTAGAGCTCACTGTCAGGGACGTCCTAGATCAGTCACTTCTGTAAAAAGATCTTGGGTTACCTCCTACTCGCTATGCAATCTGTGTACATGCCTGCATCGTGTAATCTAATCCTCACTACCAACCTCCAAGGCCGGTAGAGTGCTCCTGTCTCATAGATGAGAAACCGGCACGAGTCCCAGATCCTGTAACTGGTATGTGGCAAGTCAGGGTGTAAACCAAGCTATTTTTCTCATAAAGTCTATATGCGTACTCTCTTTCCCTCTATATATGTGTGTGTGTTTTTCTATGTCTATGTATACATCTATTCTATATAATAAAAGCCTAGGTGGTCCTCGTGCCCCTGTGGGATGCCCTCATGTCATCACAAGATGACTGTCACAAGATGGCCAGCAGGGGAGGCCAGCTGGGGGCGATCAGGCTGGCAGGTAGGTGAGCAATTAGGAGCCATCAGTCCTGGATTGTGAGAGGGATGTCCCATCCCAGGGACCAGGCCTAAATAGGCAGTCAGACATTCTCTGAGAGGCCCCAGATTGGAGAGGTGCAGGTAGGGCTGAAAGACACCCACTCCATGCACGAATTTCATGCACTGGTCCTCTAGTGTATAATATGCGCGTAATATATATATGTGTGTGTGTGCTTTCAGTACATGTACATAATGTGCTCTCAGTATGTATATCTATATTTGTGTACACACACCCAACTATTAATATCCTATATAATAAAATTTGCTAATATTCAAATTGTTCCCTCCACTGGGAGTTCAACTAGGGGGTGGAGTCAGCTGGCCAACTACCCGCAGCCCCTCCCCCTGGCCAGCTGGCCCCATGGGCCCCAATCGGGATGAACCAGCCAGACCTCACTCACGCACAAATTCATGCACCAGGCCTCAAGTATAATATATAAGTCAAAATAACTCTTGACAGAAGGTAGGTAGGTAGGTAGGAAAACATTCCTTCTCTCTGCATACCACTGCACACCCCTTAATATATTGCCATAGGCAATGACTAAGCCACTGAAACATAGTACATCATCTATCACACAGGATTTAAAAATAACTGTACGTACTCCATAGAACTGTTGTTAGAATTAAGGGGGAAAATACATGTTAAGTACTCATTATAGCGCCAAGCTTAATTCACGATGGCTATTGCTATTGTTAACTATCTATTATTATTATGAATAATAATAGTTAAATTTCTTGCCCAACAAGAAGGGAAGTGCTTTGGTATTTAGAGAGAAAGTCTGTGTTTTTAGCCAAGAAATTCTAGAACTCTGAAAGGTCTGGCCCCTTGGTCTTAGGAAGAAACTTTATCTCAGCTCACTTGGCTGCAGGCCCCGCTCGGGGAGCTCTGGGTTAAGTAATGCAGTTTTAGACTCCACGCTCCAATACTCTGTCCGGTGGGGGAGTCTCACTAAGAACTCCCTGCTTGGTGGAATCTGGTTAAAAACTCTTCTGGCCTGGCCGGGTGGCTCGGTCGGTTGGAGCATCATCCTGTACAACAAGAGGTTGCATCCCCTGATCAGGGCATACAAGAGGCCCCAGATGGATGTTTCTCTCTCTCCTCAGTGTTTTCTCTCTCTGCTGTCCTCTCTCTCTAAAACCAATAAACATATCCCCGTGTGAGGATAAAAATAAAAATAAAAGAACTCCCTGTGTCATGAATTTGAAAGACTTACTGTCATTTTTACATATTTTTGAATTATTTAAAAAAATCTTTATTGTTGCCCTAACCAGTTTGGCTCAGTGGATAGAGCGTCGGCTTGCAGACCGAAAGGTCCCAGGTTTGATTCTGGTCAAGGGCATGTACCTTGGTTGCGGGCACATCTCCAGGGGTGGGGTGTGCAGGAGGCAGCTGATGGATGTTTTTCTCTCGTCAATGTTTCTAACTCTCTATCCCTCTCCCTTCCTCTCTATAAAAAAAAATCAATAAAATATATTAAATGCACCTATTTAAAAAAATCTTTATTGTTAAAAGTATTACATACTAGATCCCCCTTTTCCCTCATCGACCCCCTCCAGCCGCCCTCCCCCTTCACCCCCACCCAAGCCCTCACCATCCCCATGTCTGCGTCCATGGGTCATGCATAGGTGCATACAAGGTCTTTGGGTGAGTCTTCTCTTCCCTCAAAACGCTTCTCTCTTTCCTCGTGGCCCCAGCGCCGAGTGTGCAGACCACTGCCCCGCCTCCCCGGTGCCCAGGGCCGGCGGGAACCAGCCGCACTGCCAGGGCGTGACGGGCCTGCGGAACCTGGGCAACACGTGCTACATGAACGCCATCCTGCAGTGCCTCTGCAGCATCTCTCCGCTGGTGGAGTACTTCCTCTCCGGGAAGTACATCACGGCTCTGCACAAGTAAGACACGTGTTCCCCGCAGCCCGGCCCTGCCCGCTCCCCAAGGCCAGGAACCCCGGCAACCCTGCTCAGACACCAGTCTGGGGTGAGGCAGTGGGAGGGTGGACCGGGAAGGGAAGGAAGCTTCGTGTTGGGTCCGAGGGCCACATGCTGAGTGTTCGGAGCCCTCTTTCCTGAGCTCAGCCAGAAACGCCCCTCCCGCCCCCCCAGGGACTGCAGCAAAGTGGCCCCCGCTTTTGCCTACGTGATGACGGACATGTGGCTGGGGGACTCGGACTGTGTCTCCCCAGAAATACTCCGGTCCGCTCTTGGCAACCTCTATCCGGCCTTCATGAAAAAGACACAGCAAGACGCCCAGGAGTTCTTGATTTACATCCTGAATGAGCTTCACGAATCTCTGAAAAAGGTGCGTAGAATGAATGGCCTTGACAGAGGATAGACCTTCAGCTCCAGCCGCACCTCTCTTTTTTTTTTTTTAATCAATCTTTATTGTTCATATTGTTACAAAGGTTCCTCATTTCTTCCCCCCTCCACCAGGTTCCCACCCCACCCTCCGCCCCCTCCCCATCCCCCATTGTCCTCATCCATAGGTGCAGTTTATGTTCAGTCTCTTCCTCCCTCCCTTTCCCCGATAGTAAATCCCTTTTCAGATAATAAATCAGTTACTTAGCATTTTCTCATATCAATAATACCACCACATGCCCAATGATACATTTCACACAAAAGACATTTCCAAATAGGTCAACCAGCCTCATCCAGGCCCCACCCAAGGCACTCACAGATCAACACCCCAGTCCTATACTAACTCAACACATCCAGATCTAAGCCTTCATCACTTGATTCAGCAGACCCTCAAGTTCCCACAAAAGTTTCCAGCCATGTCTGAGAGGCAGCCGTGGGGCAGGGGCAGGCGAGGAGCAAGCTGTTCCGGGCCTGGCTGCTTCGGGCCTGGCCTCTGTTGCTCTGGTTCGTTCCACAACCAGCTGCTCCGGGTCTGGTCACTGCCGCTCCCGACCTAGTTGCTCTGGACCTGGCTGCTGCTGCTCCGGGCCTGGCCGCACCCGACCCGGCTGCTCTGGGCCCGGCTGCTCCAGGCCCGGCCGCTCCGGGCCTGGCCGCTCCCAGCCTGGCAGCCGCTGCTCCGTCCAGCCGCAACTTTCATGTTTCATTCCCTCGTCTGTTCGGTCAGTTATCGCTGCTCTGTGCCCAGCACAGACGGGCTTCAGGTGAGCGTGTGTGGGGTCTGTGCTTCTATAACCTAGCCGGCCGTCAGAGCCACCGGGAAGAGGCCAGGACCCAGCCTCCAGGCCTCGCTCCAGGGCTGCGGGCTCACTGTCTGCCTGGTGCTCTGGGAAAACTCCCCGGGTATTGCCAGGGATCAAACGGTGTGGGAACCACTCACTCTGTTCCCTTTGCCAATCACCTCCGCAGGGAAAATCACATTTTTTAAAATAAAAAATATGATTCCTCCTGAGTTATAACATACAGAACTTTACAGCTTAACATAAGTGTTCTTGGTAACAACAAACTCAAGAAGCTGTGGACCATAACGCTTCATCTCCATGCCAAACACATCCAACCCGAATCCCCCGTTCCATTAGGACATTCAATAAACCATGAAATTGCCACTTCCTACGACTCACTGCCTTCAGCCTTGACTGGAGACCCACAGCCCCCGAAGATGTGTCCTTGAGGTCAGGCGGTGTCCTTGTGTCCGCTTACCCCATCGCTGGCTCAGGAAGTGCTCGGCGTGAAGGACCACAGCAGAGCTATGGGTCCTTCTCATCGGCAGCCCCGATCCCATTGCTCCTTTTCACTCCTTATCAAATATTCACGGCTGCCCTTCTCCTAGCCAGAGGGAGGGTGGTGGTCAGTGAAAGCACCTGGGTTCTCACTGTCAGCCAGGCGGAAATAAGCAACACTCTGGTTCCCAAGACCAAAGCTGGAATTAGAGACACGAATCGCCTCCCTGTCAGGGGAGCAGGCCTGGGCAGCAGGCGTGATCCCGGAAGGAAGCCCACGTGGAGCCCTGAGCAGCTCCCAGCAGAGCAGTCACTAATCTATAATATTAAAAGCATAGTATGCTAATTAGACCTGACATCCTTTCGGCTGACCTTCCTGATGAAGCCAGGGCTGGGAGGGAAGCCTGGGTCCCAGGTGCCTGCTGGCGGCCAGAGAGAAGCCGACGCCAGCAGCCGGGGGAAGGAAGCCCTGCTCTCGCACAGATTTCATGCACCGGGCCTCTAGTACTGTACTCACTGTGTGGTGCCCGGTGGTATGGGAAATATCAGGTGGGTCACTCTGTAAAATATATGATTGATCATTGAACTGTACCCCTGAAACTAATACAACATAACTGACTGTACACTATAATTGAAAAAAAAAAGTTTTAATTAAGAAATAAAAATAATTTAAAAAAATATATATTTTATTGATTTTGTACAGAGAGGAAGGGAGAGAGATAGAGTCAGAAATATCGATGAGAGAGAGTCATCGATCAGCTGCCTCTTGCACACCCCCCACTGGGGATATGCCCCCAACCAAGGTACATGCCCTTGACCGGAATCGAACCTGGGTCCCTTCAGTCCCCAAGCTGACGCTCTATCCATTGAGCCAAACCGGTCTCAGCAAGAAATAAAAATAATTTTAAAAAATAAAGTATTTTCTAACAAAAAGAGAAGTGCTGGGGAACATAACCTGAAGGACTGGCAGAGAGACCAATTCCTTGATTTCACCTCCAGATCAGCTGCCATGACTGAAAGCTCGTTTGGAACTTACCTAGAAACTCTTCCCGGGAGAAACTGCCTCCCGGGCCGGCCCTCTGTCGCGTTAGCATGAGGCTGTGAGCTTCTGGGGCCTCGGCCGTGGGTGTCACCGGGTTAGGGTACCGTTCCCCAGCGTCTCCAAGGAGGGATCGGAAGTCACACACACTGCACGCTCTTACAAGTTCTCCCTCTGTGTGTTGTCTGAATCCGCAACGCGGTTTCTGGAAGCAGTGTATCGTTCTGACAGAAAAAGCCACGTCATTCTATTAAGCCCTTTTTGATGCCCAGTCCCTGGTTTCCGTTCCTTGCTCAGTGCCACCGGAGGAGAGCCTGCGAGGCGGGGTCGGTGCCGCGATGCTGCCGGAAGGCGGTCGCCAGCGAGAGCTCCATCGTCACCCGGCTGTTCGAGGGGCAGCTCAACTACAGCATCATGTGCCTCAAGTGTGAGAACTGCACCTACAGGAACGAAGTCTTCACCGCGCTCCCCCTCCCCATCCCCTCCGAGTACGACTGCTCTCTCCAGGTGGGCTCTCACCCCGCTCCCCTGCTGCTCTGGTTCCACCCGGCCCTGGCTTCTCTCGGGCCTGTTTCCGGTATTTTCTAGTATGAGAGGGGCCGCTTCATAACTGGAAGAGAAAACTGGAAGCCATGATGGTAACATTTTATAGAAAAGCGACGGTAAAAGTGCAAAAATAAACAAAAAATAAATAAATAAATAAATAAATAAATAAATAAATAAATATCATGGCCTTTCCTTACCTCAAAGGTCTGTAGGTCCATTTTGGAAACTAGATATAAAAGATTCTGATGTAGTCTTGAGCTCTTATATATTATTTATTTATTTATATTTAAAATATATTTTTATTGATTTTAGAGAGGAAGGGAGAGGGAGAGAGATAGAAACATCAGTGATGAGAGAGAATCATTGATCAGCTGCCTCCTGCAAGCCCCCCACTGGGAATCGAGCCTGCAACCCTGGCCTTTGCCCTTGACAGGAATCAAACCCAGGCGCTTTCAGTCCGCAGGCTGATGCTCTACCCACTGAACCAAACCGGTTAGGGTGAGCAGTTATATTTTTAGACAAAAGTTGTGAGGTGTGTTGGGAAAATAGAATGGAAACTAGTGCTAGTTTACTCCTTGAATTTTCTTCACCATAACACCAAAAGCTCATGTAGCAGAGGGTGTGGGGGTAGAAGGCAGGGGACAGCTTGGAGGCGGGAGCAGTGCGTCTCCTCACAGGATGATACACATTTACCAGAACTGGAGAACAGAATCCCACTACTTATTCAGAACGGGACTTGTTCGCAGACCAAATGGCTAAAGATGGCTGGACACGAATCCCAAAGACTCTAAATGAGGTGCCGGTGTGTCTCCTGAAAGCAGAATCTGCCCCCCTCCTCCTTAGGTTAACGGTTTGCAGAGCTGAGGGTGCCTGGCCACACTGAGGACCTCTCCCAGGCAGGGATCTCATTCTCTCCGTTCTGCTGGCTTTATTAGGGGTCACCTCAAAACCCCGAGACATGGCCATGATTCAGTCACCAGGTCAAAACACCGAGATGTGGTCATTGTCCGATCATCTCGTCACATTGTCTGATCATCTCGTCACTTTGGTGATGAGATGAATAATGTAAAACAGCTGGAAATGTCACCGATAATATTCTGAAGTAAACATGCTGACTCAGAGATTAGATCCGAATGGGCGCGGGGACCCATTTCAGTGACGGAGGTGAGCAGGAAGCACCCCCTTTGCAGGGAGACGTGACCTCCCCCTCATATGTGCAGCTTGTGACGCTGGCTCGTCCTGGGCCTGCTGGCGCGGAGGGCGGCAGCGCGGGTTCCATCCGCAGAGCTCTGCGCCGGCTGCAGTGCGGACAGTGCGTTGCCGTGGATCCAGCCTTTCTTCCTCCGCAGGACTGTCTCCAGTGCTTTTTCCAACAAGACACGCTGACCTGGAACAACCAGCTTCACTGCTCCTTTTGTGAAACTAAGCAAGAAGCAGCTGTGAGGGCCAGCATTTCCAAAGCACCGAAAATAATGATCTTTCACTTGAAAAGGTATGGATTTTGACATTTTTGTGAGCATATTTTTTTAACATATATTTTTATTAATTTCAGAGAGGATGGGAAAGGGAGAGAGAGATAGAAACATCAACGACGAGGGAGAACCATTGATTAGCTGCCCCCTGCACGCCCCCTACTGGGGATCGAGCCCGAAACCTGGACAATGTGCCTGGGACACTTCAGTCCGCAAGCGACTTCTATTTATTGAGCCACACCAGCTAGGGCGAGCACACTTTTTGAACTGCTTTATTAAGATAGAATTCAACACCATGCAATACATCCACTTAAAGCTACAACTAAATGGTATCCAATATATCACACTGATTTTTTAAATTTTGTGGTAAAACATATATAACATAAAATTCACCATTTGAGACTGTGTTAAGTGTGTACTTCATTGGCATTAATTACATCTTTGTTGTCCAACTGAATAATGCCCAAGTGTCATAAACCCCAAAGACTACCAGGGAGCCGAATCCGATGCAATTGCAGAAAGCCTGTATTTATTTCGGACTAGTCCGAGCTCGGTCCCACTTATAGGGCATGGCAGGAGAGAGCAAGAATTTAACATAGCGATGGGTTTTATAGGAGGGGGTGGTGCCACTACCTTGGCTGACCTGATTGGTTGGGTTAGGGCTAGGGTCCAGTTACCAGGGGCTGGCCCCGCCCCGCCCTGCCCTCTCACCCCACCCTGCCCTCTCACAACAATCACCACTATTTCCAAAACATTTTCGTCACTCCAAACAGAAACTCTGTTCTCATTAAGCAGTAACTCCCCATTCCTCACCGCCCTGACCCCAGGTAACCTCTCATCCACTTTCTGGGTCTATAATCCCCCTATTTTAGGTGCTTCATGTAAGTGGAATCATACAACATTCACCTTTTCTGCTGGCCTCTTTCACTTAGCATCATGTTTTCAAGGTTCACCCATGTGTGCCAGAAGTTCGTTCCTTTTTATGGCTGAATAGTATCCCACTGAATGTAGGCCAGATTTTGTTTATCTGTTTTTCCATTGATGGACATTTGGCATTCACTTTGAGCGCTTAAAAAATAAATTCCCATGACAAATTCTGATTCCACAGGTCTGAGGCAGAGTCTAAGCATCCCTATTTTAATTTTTAGATCCCCCCACCAAATTTTATTTTAAAACTTTTGAATCTACAAAGAAGTCGGAACTATATCATGTATACCCATATACCCTAAAATGTGCATTAGTTGGTGACACTTTGCAGCATTTCCTTTCTCTTTTCTGTCTCTCTTTCCTCCCTCCCCCCATTCCATTTTATTAATGGATCCGTCTGAAGTAAGATGCATCACCATGGCACTTCATGCTTCCATACTCCACCACGTATCACCTGAGAATAAGGACATTCTCCTGCATAATCACCGTTATCACGCTTAAGAGATGTGACAATAATTTTATATCACCAAAGATACAGTCTGTACCTAACTTCCCCCACCCCCAAAATGTCTTTTATAACTTTTTTCAAATCTAGGATCCAATCCAGGGTCCTACATTGCATTTGGCTGTCTCTTTCCATCTAGAACAATCTTTCCCCCTTTGTATATATCTGAACTTTTTTTTTCTTTCTTTCTTATATTGAGCCTTTGAAGAGCCCATTGTTTAGATTGTGTCTCGTTCTGGATTTAGTTAATTGTTTCCTCATGCTTAGATTCAAGTTTCATTTAAAAAAAATATATTTGTATTGATTTCAGAGAGGAAGGGAGATGGATAGAGAGATAGAAACATCAATGATGAGAGAGAATCATTGATCAGCTGCCTCCCACAGCCCCACTGGGGATTGAACCCAAAACCCGGGCATGTACTGGGACTTCCTGGTTCCTAGGTGGACACTCAACCACTGAGCCATACCAGCTGGGCCAGGCTAAATTTTTATTGTATTGTATTTTTTTTTTCCTTTAGCAAGAATCTGGCATAGATGATGTTGTGTGCTTATCACTTTGCATCAGGAGGCACATCATGAAAGTCTCTCTCACTATTAGTACTGTTAGGTTCGATCCCTTAGGTGAGGTGTTGACTGCAAGATCTTCCATTTAAAGCTATAGTTTCTGCTCTGTAATTGGTATTACCCTGGACCTATGGACACTTAAACCTAATGTGCTCCATATCCGTTACTATCACCGTTCTTCTCGATGTTCAAATTGTTTAAAATGGACCAGTGAGAGCCGCTGCAAGCTTTTGCTACCTCATGATTAGCTCATTTAGTTTTAATAAAATATAATTACAGGCACAAAATTCATCCTTGTTAGATGCACAGCTCTATGAATTTTTAAAAATGCACAGTCATGTAACCATCCATCAACATATGGACTATCTCTATGACCCCCAAAAGTTTTCTCATGCTTCTTTATAATCCATCCCCTCTCAGCCCTTGGAAATTTCTGATCTGATTTGTATCCTTATAGTTTTGCTTTTTCCAGAATGCCCTATGTTATACTATATGCAGCCTTTGAGTTTGGCTTCTTTTACTTAGTACAATGTTTCTGAGATTAATTCCTGGTGTGGTGTGGGGTGGTGTAGTATTTTGATTGCTGTGAAGTAGTCACTTTTATGAAAGTGCCACATTCATCAGTTGATGAACACTTGGGTTGTGTCCAGTGTGAGGCAGATGTGGATACAGCTGTTAGCAAACATTGGAATATGGATTTTCATGTGGATATAACTTTTCATTTCTTTTCAGATGATCCCTAGGCATAGGATTGCTGGGTCATATGGTCCCTTCGTTTTTGCAAACAAGGTTTTTTTGCTTTCAGGCATAAGCCTACCATAGGCTCATCCAGGAATTGCCCTGCCCTAGACCTAAATCAGCCATTTTCCCAAAATGAACCTACTTTTTAAGGAGCTCCAGGGTGGTTCTGCGATGGACTCAGCTTTGGGAACTGCTGATCCATACGGCAAATAGAGAATGTGGCAAGCGTTTCACAAAATGTCATCTTAGTAAGGAGATGTTGAAACCTCAGAGCTGGAAAGCAGGACACTGCCCAGACCACGTGTGCTGACATCCAGAAGAGGGAAACTGAGGCAGCTTGGCTAGCGTGAGTGCACCAGCCGCTCCGCAGTGAAGTCTCCAGGCTGCCAGCGTGGTTCCTGCGCCCGCTGCCCCTGGACTGACTCCACACCGTCTCAGGTCCTGACTGGAGCTGTTGGCCCTCTCCAGTCTCAGTGCTGACAAGGCCTGTGGGTGCAGAGCTCCTAAATACACGCAGATGAGAAAAACTTGTGTGTACACATCTGCTCCAAACAATCTTTTTATGAAATTGCTTTGAACTGTACTTAGAATTGGTCAAGCTAGGGGGACTTCCTTCAGGAGTGCTTCACAAACTCACTTTTCGTCGCACACATTTATTATCGCTCCAGGTTTGACATTCTGGGCACAACGAAAAGGAAACTGAGAACCGATATTCATTACCCACTCACTAACTTGGACCTTACTCCTTACATTTGTCCAGTTTTCCGGAAACATCCTAAATATAACCTCTGTGCAGTGGTGGTGAGTAAAATACAACTATTTAAAATGATACAAATTTAAAGAAAACTGTAGAATTATCTGCTTAAATGCCTACTCCTTCTATCTTTCCCTGACTTCTCCTATATGTTGCTTTTTAAAACAAAGTGTAGAGCCTGGAAACTCTCTGCATTGATCCTGAGCAGTAGAGCAGTGAAGGAATAAAATGCCCTGGTCGCTACCTTTTCATTCCCCCCACTCAGTGGCTATTTCAGATCTAGAGACGTTTGCAGATTGTGCTCTGGGGACAGTAGAAGAGTAACTGTGAGCCCCTCTATGGCCAAAGCCCCCAAACACTAGGCACACAATAGTCACAGACTCGTTGCCTGTATACATCCAGACCTATATACAACCCTCAGAAGCCCCCTTGGGCTGTGTCAACTCTTATCATTGAGGATTCCCTAGAGGAAAGAAAGCATGGGGTATCTTCAGACCAAATCATCTATAGTGTAGAGAGTAGTTAATAACAGCAGTAGCCATCATGTATTGAGCCTGGCATTATGTTAACACCTATTTCCCCATGTAATTATTTCAACAATTCTATGGAGTACGTGCAATTATTTTTAAAGCCTGTGTGTTACAGATGGGATACCATGTGGTTTAGTCATTAGCCATGGCAATATTTAAGGGATGTGCAGTGGTAAGTAGAGAGAAGGAATGTTAACCTACGTACCTACCATCTATCAATAATTATTTGGATTTATATGTCATATATTAGGAGTGAGTATGTGGGCCAAGGCCGAATAGATCAGTTGGTGAGAGCATTGTCCTGATACACCAAGGTTGCAGGTTTGATCCATGGTAAGGGTGCATACAGGAGTCAACCAATGAATGCATAAATAGGTGAAACAACAAATTGATGTTTCTCTTTTTCTCTTTTCTTTCTCAAATAAATAAAATTTTAAAAAGTAGGTGTGTATACATACATACATATATATGGCACATATATATACATTGAGATCATAATATATACACATACTATATACATATATTAAAAGCACATATACACGTGTATATAATATCTATATATCTATATATATAAAAGCCTAAGCGACCTTTACAACAGAATGACTGGTTGCTATGACACACACTGAGCAGGCAGGCAGGCGAGTGGTTAGGAGTGAGCAGGCAGGTGAGCAGTTAAGAGGGCATGGTCCTGGATTATGAGAGGAATGTCTGACTGTTGGGTGTCCGACTGTGGGGATTAGGCCTAAACTGGTAGCCAGACATCCCCCGAGGGGTCCCAGATTGCAAGAGGGTGCAGGCAGGGCTAAGGGAACTCTGCCCCCTCCCCCGTGCATGAATTTCATGCACCAGGCCTCCAAAAAAGCTTGGTTTTACCTTAACAGTTTTAAAAATTATTCTTAAAAGTGTCCATTGTTTACATTTTCAATTTTTTTTGGCAAATGTCAGTTTTTTCTTTCCAATTATTACATCTCTTGTTTCTTTTTCTTGTCCTGCTTCTCTGGTTAGGACACCCAGTATGTGTAAAATATTGTGTTACTCCCTTCTAGACTGCAGTTTCTGCTGAAAAATCTTTTGATAGTCTTAGGTGGGGGGGGGGGTGTTGGGGAGGCTTTGTAGTGACAAGTTGTTTTCCTCTTGCTGCTTTTAAGATCCTCTCATTGTCTTTCATTTTTGACTTTTAAAATATAATGTGTTTCAGCGTGGGTCTCTGGGTTCATTTTATTTGGAACTTTCTGGGCTTCCTATATCTTTTTAAATAAAATTTTTATATTTTAATGTCTATTTCCTTTCTCAAGTTAGGGAAGTTTTTAGCCACTATTTCTTCAAATAAGTTTTCTTCCCCTTTCTCTCCCTTTTGGGACCCCTATAATACAAATGTTAGCCCTCTTAATGTTGTCCCTTATGTCCCTTAAGCTATTGCTATTCTTTTAAAATTATTATTATTATTTTTTTTTTTTTTCCGCCTCTGATGGGGACAGTTCCATTGTCATCCTTGAGTTCACTGATTCTTTCATTTCTAGTCTGCTGAAGCCTCCTAGTGTATCTTCCAGTTGAGTTTTGAACTTTTGCTCCATGACTTCTCTTTGGTACTATCTTGTTTTTCCCCTTGTTGTTGAAGTAGTTCTGTGTTCATCTGTTCCTTTCCCGAGTTTGGTGACCATTACTTTGAACTTTTTATCAGGTAAATTACTTATCTCCATTTCATTAAGGTTTTCCCCTGAGTTTTTATTTTGTTCTTTCATTTGAAGCCTATTCCTTTGTTCCTTCATTTTACTTGACTCTGTGATGGTTTCTATATGTTAGATAAAGCAGCCTCCTCTTAGCCCTGGCTGGGTAGCTCATATCAACAGGACTAATGTCTTTTGAGAGCCAAATTTTTAAAACTTAAACTTCTTCTAATGCCACTTTTCAAAATAGACTCGCCCAGGCCATGGTATTCTGTGGAAGAGCCACACTCAAGGGGCAAAAAAGCCGCATGTGGCTTGCGAGCCGCAGTTTGCTGACCACGGGTCTAGAGTGTTGACCAAAAAACCCAAGCTCCCCTTGACCCCTAGAGCCAGGCAATCAAGAGGAATACCCTGTCCGGGCAGCAGCCCAAAACACCAGGGCACCAGATACATGCAGCAGCTCTCCTGGGGCGCTACTGGCACTCCAGAGCATGGCCCGGGGAGAGTGGAAAGACAGCGCCTCCCTCTGAGTCCCCAGAAAAGATGACACCAGCCACAGATGTGTCTTTGGTGAGGAGCCTGTCCCTCGGCAGCTATGATAATAAGCTAATGGCGCGCTTCCCACAGAAAGAGCTCCTGATCTGTGGCTTCTTGCTGTGCGTTGGTGGTGGCGGCAGTTTAAGGACGTTTTCTCTCTTGATTCAAGTACTGTGGGACCCACAGGTATAAGCCCCCAGGAGCACCAGAGCCAGGCAAGGTAGAGGGGCTCCCTGGCAGCAGCTGCAGAAATGATAAGCTCCTTTCTGGCAGATGCTGGCCCAGGGCGAGCGCGATGGTTTCCACCTGCACACGCTCCCGGAAAGCACCTACCAGGCCCCACGTTGTGTGCCAAACAGGAGCCGCCCTCAGGCTTACTTAAGCTCCTGGAATCAAACTGGCCTCCCTCCTGGAAAGACTGACTTACAACAAAGGAGTCCAGCAAACGGAAGAGGAGCCTGCTGGATGGAAAAAGATAGTTGCAAATCACACATCCGATAGGGTTTATTAACAATGGAGAAAGGGAAGTCTCTTCAATAAATGGTGCTGGGAAAAAATGGACAGCCACATGCAAAGGAATGCAATAGACCTCCATGTTACACTACCCACAAAATTAACTCAAAGTGGATTAAAGACTTGAACATAAGCCCTGAAACAATAAAATACATAGAAGAAAACATAGGCAGCTGCTAGACACCAGTCTTACTAGTAGTGATGTTTTTGTGGATTAGACTATATCAGCAAGGGAAACAAAAGCAAACAAACAAACAGAAAGTGGTACCACATCAAACTAAAAAACTTCTGCACAGCCCTAGCTGGTTTGGCTCAGTGGGCAGATCATCGGCCTGCGGACTGAAGGGTCCCAGGTTCAGTTCCTATCAAGGGAACATGCTGGGTTGTGGGCTCGATCCCCAGAAGGGAGCATGTAGGAAGCAGCCAATGATTTTCTTTCATCATTGATGTTTCTCTCTTCCTCTCCCTCGCCCTTTCTCTCTGAAATCAATCAAAATATATAAAATAAATAAATAAATAAAAAATAAGTAAATAATGAATAAATAAAAAGCTTCTGCCCAGCAAGGGAAAAGGCAACCCATTGGATGGGAAAAGATAGTTGCAAATCAGACATCTAATAGGGGTTAATATACAAAATATACTAGTATACAGAAGTCATACAACACAACAACAACAACAAAGCCAACCTGATTTTAAAATGGGCAAAGGAGCCCTGGCTGGGAGCACAGTGGTTAGAGCATTGGCCCAGGCCTGACAGCCTCAGGTTTGATTCCATTCCAGGGTACATACCTCAGTTTCAGGCTCAACCTCTGGTCCTGGTCAGGGCTCTTGCAGGAGGCAACCAATTGATTTGTCTCTCTCATATCGATGTTTATCTCTCTCTGTGTGTGTGTCTCTCCCCCTCTCTTCCACTCTCTCTAAAAATCAATGGGGAAAAAAATCCTTGGGTGAGGTTTAACAACAACAACAAAAATGGGCAGGGGATGTGAACAGATACTTTCCCAAAGGAGTTGTACCTGTGGCCAACTGGCACACACAAAGGTCTTCAACACCAGGGAAATGCAAGTTAAAACCACATTGGGATATCACCTCACCTCTATTCAAACGGCTATCATCAGCCTGTGCATGGTTGGCTCAGTGGATAGAGCATCTGACTGTGGACTGGAAGGTCCCGGGTTCGATTCCAATCAAGGGCACATGCTCCAGGTGTGGGCTCATATCCAGTGGGGTTTGTGCAGGAGGCAGCAGATCAATGATTCTCTCTCATCATCGATGTTTCTATCTCTCTCCCTTTCCCTTCCTCTCTGAAACCAATAGAAATATATACTTTTTAAAAACGGCTATCATCAAAAAGACAAGAACTAACAAGCAACGAATAAGATGCAGAGAAAAGGGAGCCCTCTGTGCACTATTGTTGGGAATGTAAATTACAGCTACTATGAAGCAGTGTGCACATTCCCTTAAAAATAAAGAATAAGCCCAAACCGGTTTGGCTCAGTGGATAGAGCGTCGGCCTGCGGACTGAAAGGTCCCAGGTTCGATTCTGATCAAGGGCATGTAAGTTGGTTGTGGCCACATCCCCAGTAGGGGGCGTGCAGGAGGCAGCTGATCGATGTTTCTCTCTCATCGATCTTTCTATCTCTCTCCCTTCCTCTCTGTAAAAAAAAAAATAAAAAAAAATCAAATATGGACAAATATGTGATACCTTAATCAATAAAGAAGTTTTTAAAAAGAATAAAACTACCATATGATTGAGTTATTCCACTTCTGGAATACGAACCACTAATTCAAAAAGATATC